GGGTCAGGTGACCCCAGCCAGGTGCTTGTCCAGTCTCCTCTTGAAGACTGCCAAGGCAGGGGAGAGCACCACCTCAATTGGAAGTCCATTCCAGATTTTGGCAACCCTTACTGTCAAGAAGTTCTTTCTAACGTCCGACCTAAATCTGCTCTCTGTCAATTTGTGACCATTGTTCCTAGTTACTCCAGGGGGTGCCCTAGTAAAAAGAGCATCTCCTATTCCCTCCTGCCCTCTCCTGATGAATTTATAGGCAGCCTAAAGATCACCTCTCGGCCTTCTCTTGCGAAGGCTGAAGAGATCTAGTCCCTCAGCCTCTCCTTGTAGGGCCTTGCCTGCAGGCCTCTGACCATACAAGTCGTCCTCCTCTGAACCCTCTCAAGATTCTCCGCATCTCTCTTAAAGTGTGGCACCCAAAACTGGATGCAGTATTCCAGCTGCAGCCTGACCAGTGCCGCGTAGAGGGGAAGCATCACCTCCCTGGGCCTGTTCGTCATGCAACTGCTAATGCATGATAAAGTGTGGTTAGCCTTCTTGATCACTTCGTCACATTGATGACTCATGTACATCTTGGAGTCAACTCTGACTCCAAGATCCCTTTCCGCTGCTGTGTTGCCGAGAAGGTCATCCCCCAGTCAGTAAGTGTGTTGGTGGTTCTTTTTGCCCAGGTGCAGCACTTTGCACTTGTCTTTGAACTGCATCCTATTTCATGCTTACCATTTTTCCAACCTGTCCAGATCTGCCTGGATCCATTCCTTACTCTCTGGTGTGTTGACTTTGCCCCATAATTTGATATCATCTACGAACTTGGACAGGGTGCTCTCCATGCCCTTCCAAGTCGCTGATGAAGGTATTGAATAGCACTGGTCCAAGGACCGAGTCTTGCAGGACTCCACTGCCCACATCTTTCAAGGTCGATACCGACCCATCCACCACCACTCCCTGGGTGTGACCCCTAAGCCAATTTGCCACCTACCTGACCATGTAATCATCTACATCACAGCCTGTCAGTTTATTTATGAGAACAGAATGAGATACCATATCAAAGACCTTCTTAAAGTCTAGGTAGATGACATACATGTACCTCGACTCCTGCGTCTAAGCATTTTGTGACCTGGTTATAAAAGGTTAGTCCAGCAGGATCTACCTTCAATGAACCTGTGCTGATTTCCTTTCAGCATTATTTCCCCTGCTGGGCTCCCACAAATGTGATCCTTAATGATTTGTTCCAGAGTTTTCCCAAGGATACAGATGAGACTAACTGGCCTGTAGTTTCCCAGTTCCTCCCTCCTCCCCTTCTTGAAAATAGGGACCACACTGACCCTTTTCCAGTCCTCTGGGACCTGACCGGAGCACCATGAGTGCTCAAACAGCCTTGCCAGTAGTTCTGCTATGACACTGGCCAATTTCTTCAGCACCCTTGGATGAAGTTCATCCGGGCCTGCTGATTTGAACACATCCAGCCCTTCCAAGTGCCCCTTCACTAAGTCTGCGCTAACAGTTGGTGGGCTGGTGTCCTTCTTGTGTCTGTCTATGATCCAGTTGGGAGATTTGTCTTGGTCTGTGTCTAGGAATACAGATGCAAAGAACTCATTGAAGAGCTCAGCTTTGTTTCCCACCCCTGCCCCTCTGTCCCCAATTGCCCTAGTTTTTCCTGTAGGGGTCCTATGCTACCCTGTACCACCTTTTGCTCCCTATATAACCTGAAGGACTTTTTGCTATCCTTAATTTTTGTTGCCAGCCTAAATGCTAATCCTGCTTTGACCTTCCTAATTGATTCCCTGCAAGTGCAAGCCAGGGAGGTATACTCCTCCTTGGTAACTACCCCTGTTTCCATAGCCTGTATACCTCTTTCTTTGCCCTTGGGATTTCCTGGACTTCCCTGTTCAGCCAAGAGGGCTTCTTGGCCCCTTTGCCACCTTTTATGCTCAATGGGATTGTCTCCTTCTACGCTTGTAGGATTGTTCCCTTGAGGAACGACCACCCTTTCTGGATCCCCTTTTAGCCAATGCTCTTGAGCTTTAACGCCTCACTATCTCCTAAGCACGCTGAAGTTAGTCTTTCTGAAGTCTAGTACTTCAGCCCTGCTGGTTAGTTTACCCACCCTTTGCTGGATAGTGAATTCAACCAATCGATGGTCACTATCCCCTAGGTTACCTTGTACCTACAGATTCCCCACCAGGTCATCCCCTGTAGCTAACACCAAGTCCAGCAAGGCATTTCACCTATTGGGATCATATACTTTCTGCATTAGGTGGATGTCCTGTATGCAGGTTAAGAACCTACACGAGCGTTTAGATATGGCTGACTGCTCCTCCCAGCAGATGTCAGGTTAGTTTAGTTCACCCATGACAACCATATCTCTTGACTGTATGGGCTCTGAGAGCTGTCTGGAGAATTCCAGGTCTAGCTTATCCTTCTGGTGTGGTGGTCTATAGTAGACCCCCCACTACTAAGTCCCTTTCCCCTCGACCCCCTTGTATCCTGACCCACAGTACCTTGGTTTGGCCGTCCTCTTTTACCATCTTGATTATAGAGGATGTATATTGTTCCTTAATATAGAGAGCAACATCCTCCTCC